GCCATCCCTGGAATTCTTCTTTTAAGCCCAACTCTAGGCACAAATGATTTGCCTTTTTCTTTTGCTGCCGGAGCCATTTTTTTTGCACACGTTTAAAAAAAAATTATTTTAGGCCTAAAGATTACACAAAAGCCCCATTCATTATGTACTTTCTGAAAGCAAAGACCCTAGAGAATAAAATAGTAGTAGTTCAAATTTTTTAATGTCACACAATATTACTGCAAATCTCTAGGAAACACAACATTCCAGTAAAAAGCACACTAACGTGAATTTTAACGCAAAGAAATGCAATAAATTACCCACATTTTTGGTAAAATTTAAAAGATGACGTTGTGCTGAGTAAATAAATACCCTGCATGTCAAACCTTAAATGTGCTTGTAAAAAACTTTACTATCTTAAATTTTCTGTATGCGATGATTCAAAAGCCCCTATAGGTCATCTGTTCAGTGTTATGGAGGAGGTCCTGTGCTAGAATTATTGCTCTCACTCTGGCGTGTGCGCTGATTTTTTAACGTGTATCGCAGTCAACGGTTCCACGCGTATGCACCCCTAACATGCGCGTATACATTCATACATGCATATATATATATATGGGGGGGGGGGGGTGTTATGTGCTTGGGTGTAACTTTTTTTGTGAAAATTTTTTAAATTAACGTTATTTTTTTTTTTTTTTTTCAATCACATAGGGGACACAAAGTCCCCTGTGATGATTTTTTTGGTGACAGATTCTCTTTAACCTCTTGCCTACAGGGCACTTTTACCCCCTTCCTGCCCAGGCCAATTTTCAGCTTTCAGTGCTGTCACATTTTGAATGACAATTGCGCGGTCATGCAACGCTGTACCCAAGCGAAATTTGTATATTTTTTTTGTGACATATAGAACTTTCTTTTGGTGGTATTTAATCGCCACTGGGATTTTTATTTTTTTGCTAAACAAACTAAAAAAGATTGAAAATTTAGAAAAAAGTTTTTTCTTAGTTTCCATTATAAAAGTTTGTAAATAAGTAATTTGTCTCCTTCACTGATGTGCGCTAATGAGGCTGCCGTGATGGGCACTGATAGGTCCCACTGATGGGCACTGATAGGTCCCACTGATGGGCACTGATAGGCAGTCCCACTGACGGGCGGCACTGACAGGTGACACTGGCACTAATAGTTGGCACTGAAAGGCAGCTCTGATGGGCACTGATATGTGGCACTGATGTGCACTGGGCAGAGGCACTGATGGGCATTGACAGGCATCACTTGTGAACATTGACAGGCATCACTGATGGTCACTGAAAGACAGCATTCACTGATGTGCGCTAATGAGGCTGCAGTGATGGGCACTGAAAGACAGCACTCATATATGCCACTGATAGATGGAGCTGATGGGCACTGTTAGGCGGCACTGATGGCCACTGTTAGGCGGCACTGATGGGCACTGTTAGGCGGCACTGATGGGCACTTTAGGCGGCACTGATGGGCACCTTTAGGCGGCACTGATGGGCACCTTTAGGCGGCACTGATAGGTGACACTCACTGGCACTGAAAGGCAGCTCTGATGGGCACTGATATGTGGCATTGATGGGCATTGACAGGTGACATTGATGGGCACTGACAAGTGGCACTGATGGGGCTACACTGATAGTCAGTGCCCTTATGTTGATCAGTTTAGATGTCCCCTCTGAGGAATGCTGATTATCGGCACTCCTCACGTTTTTGTCAGCATAAGGAGAGATCTACCAATAACTGGGATTTCCTATTCACATGTGATCAGCTGTGATTGGACACAGTTGATCACTTGGTAGAGCTCAAAAAACGCTAGAAAAAAGCTGGATGAAAAACGTTGATAATATCGTTTTTTGTGCCAGCTTGAAGTAGAGGTATAGGAGTGTTTGTGAGCATTAGCTTTGTATTAGCGTTTTTTACAGTATGGGTAGAAAAACAAGCTAGTTTTTGCTGAAAAAACGCTCCCAAAAATGCTACAAAATTATTTTTTTTGTGCTCCTAAACGCTTTTTTGAAGTGAAAGTAAGGTTCAATGCACACTAACCTTACAAAAAAAGCCACCAGTTTTTGTACATGTTTAGGAGCATGTAGGAGTGTTTAGTAATTTTTCTGCCAGAAAACACCAAACAGAAATGCAAACCAGAAGAGGTTTTTTTTTTCTGCCTTTTAACGCTCCCCTTAAAATTTGCCTCATGGACACCTAGGATAACATTGAGCTGCTTCAACAGGCAAAACACCCAAAACTCCTATAGAAGCATCTTTTTGTAAGCCAGTGTGTATGGACCCTGAAAGAAAATACCAAATTTTAGGAGGCCCCTAGAACAAGGATAGATGGAAATTCTTTTAATTCTTTAAATTTTCCAATGGGGACAATAGTTCTGGTGAACTGGGGGACCTCAAGGGATTCCCTTAATTTTGCAGGGATCTCATTTCACTTCCTGTTTTGGCTATTGGACAGGAAGTGAAGGTAAATCTCCCCAATAGGACACAGTTTGCAAACAAACTGATGGGGGTTATAACCCTCCATTACTCTTATCAACAATTAAAATTAAAAATGTTTTGCCTATAGTTCTACTTAGTCATGTACTGAGCTAATAAAAATAAAATCTGCTGCTTTCTGAATAACATCTATTTCAGTTCCACGGTCCTTCATTGCGTCTTTTATTTTACCTTGATTTTTGATTAATTGTAAATGTGTCTTTTAGATTGTTGTATGATTTGAGTGTGCGTATTTTTGTTCTGTTTTGTTATTGAGGCTTTGCTATTCTTTAATGCCAGAGATGTGGCCTGTGTCACACTGTGCTCCTTTATGCTTCGCTCCTTATCCTCCTCATCCGCTAATGAAATGTCCTCTTTGTATGAACGGTTTGTCCTCTGTCATAATTGAGACCTAAATCGAGTTTCCTTTCATCAAAACGCTCCTCATTTATAACCTTTAACCCCCCCAAGCGTCTCTCAACTCATGAGTCTAATCCTTAAATCCACAGATTAATTTAGAGTTTATCATACAGACTCCAGCTCTAATTTCTCCTATCTGTGTTTATCCCAGCGGCTGTTTACCAAGATGCTCCGGCCAGATGTAATGTCCTTAAGCCTCATGGCACAACATGTCCTATCGTGTCTGTCTCCTCATTGTATTAATATAATAAGAGGAATCGCGGAAACCCTAATCAAATGTGTACATGCCGACAAAGCCAAAATATATCCAAGCCAGCCACAGAGAAAAAATGGATTATGGATTATGTTAATAAAAAACACTTGATTGTGTCGTGTTTGTGCAGAAATTGAGGGATGGTAATGTTTTGCATTAAAAACAAATTGGTTCTGACACATATTTTCCACATTGATTGGTACTGAATATTTATTTATGTTGAATGTAGATTTGTAAACATTTTTTTTTCAATATTATGTTAATGTGATCTATTTACGGTGATTCTCACTAATGCGAGTGTCAGTGCACCAAAAATGATTTCATTCTTTAGTACTTGCTGAGACGTTAAATTATCATCACTCCAGTAATAAGAGAAATATTGGCATTCAAGTGTATGTCAAGCCAAGGTCCCACTGTCCATGCTGGGCTCATATTCTATAACCGGAAATGCAGCAAGAAGATGGGAAATGCTCCACCATGATGGGTGGTGTGCACAGGAACAGAATTTAAAGTGCAACTCTGAGCACAGAAAAAAAACCTTGCATCATTCCCCCCCCCCCCCCCGCAAGGGTTAAATGCTCATGAAGTCTAGGGGTGCATGAATACACTGTAATGCCTTCCTCACTCCAACACGATCACTCCAGCTGTGTGACTGATCCCACAAAACCTGTTTTCTAAGGTTCTTACGGCAGTGGTCGCATGTCTGCCTCCTCCACGTACAATGCAGGTTAATATCCTTGCATTATACATGATGACATTGAGGGACAACCTGCCTACAGACCAGAGAAATGGGCACAAGAGGACAGCACCAGAGCAGAGGTTAAAAAGGTAATAATTCCTACTCCTTTACTCCATAGATATAATAAATAGTTAAAGTAGAACTATAGGCAAGATAGAGTTGGAACTGGATAGAGTAAGGGAGGGTTATAACCCCTGTCAGCTATGCAGAGCAATACAAAGCAGCATGATGGTGCTGACATTGGAGAGATCTGTATTGTTTACATACAGACCTCTCCTCTGTCAGTGTTCCTCAGTGATCGCCAGGGAATCTCTGGCTGGGACCCGGTGATCGACAGCTGTAACCGCCAATGGCAGTGTGGGCAGGGCACGCCCCCTACCCAGAAATGCAAAATCGTGTGTGTGTGTGTGTGTGTATATATATATATATATATATATATATATATATATATATATATATATATATATGTGTGTATGATTTTCTGCAGCCCTGCTGCCGTGTAGCAGTGGTTCTGCTATAGGGCAGTCGGGAAGTGGTTAATTAAAAATTAAGTAGACGTCATGCATCATAGCACAGCTGGTTTCACATGTATGCATATTTCTTTGGTGCATTTTAACCACTAGCCTACAGGGCACTTATACCCCCTTCCTGTCCAGGCCAATTTCCAGCTTTCAGCACTGTCACACTTTGAATGACAATTGCGCAGTCATGCAACACTGTACCCATATGAAATTTTTAGCATTTTTTTGAGACAGAGCTTTCTTTTGGTGGTATTTAATCACCTCTGGGAATTTAATTTTTTTTCCTAAACAAACCAAAAACCACTGAAAATTTTGAAAAAAAAAAAGTTTTACAATTTTGTAAATAAGTGATTTTTTCTCCTTCACTGATGTGCGCTAATGAGGCTGCAGTGATGGGCACTGATAGGCTGCACTGATGGACACTGATAGGTGGCACTGATGAGGAGGCACTGGTAGGTTGCACTGATGGGCATTGACAGGCATCACTGATGGGCACTGAAAGGCAGCACTGAGACATGACACTGAGACATGACACTGATAGGCAGCACTGATTGGCAGCACTTATAGGTGGCACTGATTGGCAGCACTTATAGGTGGCACTGATTGGCATTGATAGGTGGCACTGATTGGCATTGATAGGTGGCACTGATTGGCATTGATAGGTGGCACTGACTAGCACTGATGGGTGACATTGAAAGGCAGCTCAGATGGGCACTGATATGTGGCATTGATGTGCACTGGTATGCACTATGTGGCATTGGTGTGGCACTGATGGGCACTGGCACGTGGCACTGATGAGCACTGACAGGTGGCACTTCTGGGGCCACACTGATCATCAGGGCACACTGATCATCAGTGCCCTGATGATCAGTTTACATGTCCCCTCCGCGGAAAGCCGATTACCGGCTCTCCTCTCCTCTCGAGCTGTCAGCGTGACAGCTTTGAGAGGAGAAAAATGCCGATAACCGGCATTTCCATGTTTACATGTGATCAGCTGTGATTCGACATCTTCGGCTCTTTCCATGATCTGCTGTGTCCAAGGGACACAGCGCACCGGCGATCGCTGCGCGCTCCCTGAGCCGCGCATGCGCAGTGAGAATGGTAGGATGTCATATGACGTCCTATCAGAACGAGAGAACCACCTTGCGCCTGTCATTGTACTATAGGGCGGGCGGAAGGTGGTTAAATTGAAATCAATGGAAACGCATCAAAAACACGTGTCAACACATGCATCATACTCACTGAACTGCACTTTCACGCGCCTTGACACTCAATAAAAAGTGCATTGCAAGTTAAAAATGTGTTGACTAGCACATCTGTGTTGGCACACGTGTAACTGTTTTTAAATGTATATTCATCTGATGCCAGGATGCTCCAAGATATTATTTCTTTATATCTAAGTGGGAAGTTGATTTTATCTGATGCTGATTTTGAGTATACAGTATGTTTGTATGTATAAGTGTATATGTATAGCCACTAAAGATCATAATTGATACTGTGAATAAAGTAAAGCATATACTTGACTACTGACGTGCTCGTTTAATACACAAGTTGCCCTAATGCCAAGTGTTTGTCAGATTGATTATTATCTTATTAGGTTTTAATATTCACTTGGATTTCCCAACACTTTGTACTTTTCATGAACAACAGACTACTTGTTTTGGTTTCTGGTCTTCTACTGGGTGTCTGTTTTCACCCTTCAGGGAAATAAAAGAACACGTAAATTAATTTTTTTACTGTAAAGCACCTCGTTCTGTACCTTTTTTAATCTATACAATACTTGCAGGTCTGACTTCCTTGCACATAAAAAAAAAAATGGCATGTGTTGCTCAAGGTCTTGTCAGTGGATATATGCAATTCGAATAGTGTGTACCTAGCTTAAGTTCTGTAAGGCTAGGTTCACACTACAAATCGCCTGTGAATCGCACAGGAATGTGCTCTCGTTCCTGTGCAATTCACAAGTGATTCAGTGCGGTGCGATTTGAGCCCATTCCTGGCACACCCATCGTGCCAAAGTAGTGTACAACCAGATTGCACGGTAGTTTTGTACCATGTGCTTCAGTGCAGGCAGGCTCATTGTGTTTGTGACATGCATTTTGGGTGCCGTTAACATTGCACTGACACTCACTGCAGATCACAAGAGTGCGTTTTTAATGCGGTGCTGGAAATATGATGCCGTTTTCTGATCCCATTTCCCCAAGTTTTTATAGGTCCTTAGTTAAACACAAACCTGACCTTAGAAGAGAAGTAGAGTCCCCCCCCCCCCCCCCCATTTGTACTCTGCTAGGTGGATGCAGCATCAGTACGATGCTGATGCTGCATCTGTCCCCCTCTGAGAGTGGGACTGTCAGTCCCTGGCTCTCTGCTCTGCCCCCCAACACTTACTTGAGTGCTGGGCTGTGCAGGGGGAGGGAGCGGCTGGCTCATGCTCAGTGCTGCGCTGAGCCTGATGCCATTCCAGACTCTGGGGTGTGGGTCCTGACTTTAAAGTCTGGATCTTTCCCCAGCCTGGACCGGCTGAGTGACGTCAGCTGACAGTGGACTTCAGCCTGCTCTCAGCTGAAAACGGGTCACAGGAGTGCAGAATGAACTACACTCCTGTGATCCACAGAAGAAGTACAGCCAAAAGAGCTTTGGCTGGACTTCTCCTTTAAAGAAATGTCTGGCACTTTCCTCAGCCACTCTGCCTAAGACTGCATTGCTTATATTTGTGAACATTCTTCAATAATCTAATAGCGTCTGCAAGTATACTAATGTAAAGTGCAGATGGCTTTAGGGTGATTTTTGAATATCAGCCTTTAGCACTGATTGTTATGATCACTGACGTTATAATGTGTTAAAGAATTGTTTTTCTAATAGGGAATTACATGCATGAAGAAAGCGGTCTAAGGAATGAGTCATGAAATACAGCTTTTTATTATTGACTCATTATCTAGAGAGCTTGAGTCACTCATCTCTGTTTTTCTCCTGCAGGTTTCACTGGGGATCCGGTGGACAATTCCGCATCCTTGCGCTGGCCTGCTTCTAAAACATAAGTAAGTGTTTTTGAATATTTCATATTTATTCCTGGGCCTAGACTGCTATAGAAATGCAGCTAAAACCACTTGGGGCTTCTTGCACACAGATGATTTGAGACTTAGGACTCATGCACATGAGCTTTTGTCTGTTTGTCTTAACCACTTGCAGAACAGCAACATACCAGAACGCCACTCAAATCGAACCCCAGGAGCCAGAGAAGAATGGGATGTAGTAGGATGGCCTCAGCCATCACTCTGGCCACGCCCTCTGATGCATTTCACCCCCACTCATAGGGGGCTTGGTAACAGAGGCTCTGTGATCTGATCCAGCGATGTGCATGAGAGCAGCGTCTCTAGCTGCTGTCTCCCTCCTCACTGGGCAGACTGATAGCAGTGGGAGCCATTGGCTTTTGTTGCTGTCAATCAAATGCTGTGATGGGGGCGGGGCTGAGCCACCCGGTCTGTGTCAATAGACGCAGATAGGGTGGCTTAGGAGTGAGCCTGCTCGGGTCCCCTAAAAGAAAGCGGCTTTCCACGGGGGCACTCGACGGAGAGGAGTCTGGAGCACTAGTGAGGGGCTCCAGGACAGGAGGACGGGGCTTCTCTGTGCAAAACCGTTGCACAGAGCAGGTAAGTACCGTATTTTCCGGCGTATAAGACGACTTTTTACCCCTTGAAAATCTTCTCAAAAGTCGGGGGTAGTCTTATACGCCGGGATACGGCATACTGACACTTTTTAGGGGGGTGGCGCGATGCCTCCACCGCCCCCCCCCCCCCACCCTTTCCAACGGAAGGGACACTAAATACAGGGGTGGGCAGGGGCTGCTGTTTCTTACCTGGCTCTGGTCCCACGACAATCCGGTCCAGGAAGCACGGCTGCTCCTTCAGTTCGGCCACTGGATGTTCACGCAGCTGCTCGGCTCCGCCTCCTCACCGGTGATTGGCCGCCAGAACTGTAGCTCAGGAAAGGCACACAGGCAGCCAATCACCGGCGAGGGGGCGGAGCCGAGCGGCCAAGCGAAAATCGAGTAAAGGAGCGGCCGGTAAGTGTGCCGTGTAGAGGTGCTGCTGCAACCACATATGCTGGCTGCAGCAGCACCATACTAGAACAGGGGTCAGCAAGTGTAATTGGTGTCAGTGGGAGGAATAGTGCCCCATCATTGGTGTCACAGATACCAATGATGGAGCACTATTCCTCCCACTGACACCACCGATGGGGCACTATTCCTCCCCCCCACTGACACCAACGATGGGGCACTATCCCCTCCCTGCTGACACCAATGATGGGGCACTATTCCACCCCCCACTGACACCAATGATGGGACACTATTCCTCCCACTGACACCAATGTTGGGGCACTATTCCACCCCCCACTGACACCAATGATGGGACACTATTCCCCCCACTGATACTAATGATGGGGGGCACTATTCCTGCCACTGATACCAATGATGGGGCACGATTCGCCCCACTGACACCAAAGATGGGGCACTATTCCTCCCACTGATACTAATGATAGGGCACTATTCCTGCCACTGATACCAATGATGGGGCACTATTCCTCCCACTGATACTAATGATAGGGCACTATTCCTGCCACTGATACCAATGATGGGGCACTATTCCTCTCACTGACACCAATGATGGGGTGCTATTCCTCCCACTGACACCAATGATGGGGCACTATTCCTCCCACTGACACCAATGATGGGGCACTATTCCTCCCAATGACACCAATGATGAGGCACTATTCCTCCCACTGACACCAATGATGCGGCACTATTCCTCCCACTAATACCAATGATGGGACACTATTCCTCCCACTGACACCAATGATGGGACACTATTCCTCCCACTAATACCAATGATGCGGCACTATTCCTCCCACTAATACCAATGATGGGACACTATTCCTCCCACTGACACCAATGATGGGACACTATTCCTCCCACTAATACCAATGATGCGGCACTATTCCTCCCACTAATACCAATGATGGGACACTATTCCTATTCCCCACTGACACCAATGATGGGACACTATTCCTCCCACTGACACCAATGATGGGGCACTATTCCTCCCACTGACACCAATGATGGGGCACTATTCCTCCCACTGACACCAATGATGGGGCACTATTCCTCCCACTGACACCAATGATGGGGCACTATTCCTCCCACTGACACCAATGATGGGGCACTATTCCTCCCACTGACACCAATGATGGGGCACTATTCCTCCCACTGGTGTGCATTGGAAGAGGGGTAGTCTTATACGGCGAGTATAGCCCAAACACTACATTTTAGCAGGAAAAGTAGGGGGTCGTCTTATACGCCCAGTCGTCTTATACGCCGGAAAATACAGTATAATATGTTTGGTTTTTTTTAAAAAAAAAGCTGAACCTTTAGTATCACTTTAATATGGTCCCAGAGATGTCCAAATTAATTGTCTTCTATATCCACAGAGGTTTTAGAATGACACATTCTTTCTAAATCTCTGAAACCAATATTTTGCTTTAATTATTAGAACAGTTTACAAGCTATAGGAGTAACGTGTCATTAAACTATTTAGAACTGCAATCATGATAGGTCAGTAAAGAAGTGACTGTGAAATATCACTACAGGAGTGCCTGGCTATACAGTGATCATTTTTTTTTTCCATGAGCCAGCGGGCTGATTGAAAAAACTGACAAAACTCCCCCATCCGTACAAACAAGGTGGATGGGGGATCCTCCTTGCTGTGGTATTGTATTCTGACAGGGATGTCTCCAGTCTCAGAATACACTGATCAACGATGCAGTTGGCTGCAGTGCTGATTGAAGAAAAATTTCCCAAAATGCTCATTCTATGAGAAGTTGATAATTATATTGACATGTCATGAATGTGAATGGCCGTAGATGGATTGGAATTCAGCTAGTCTCTGCTAAACTGGAGAAATTTTAATCCATCTATGATCAGCTTTAGTGATGCCTCGTCCCTTCGAGACAGTACATCTGTAAGCAAGCTTTAATAGGAACTTCATCCTTATCAACCATGGC